TCAACAGTAATTTCCATTTCCTGAAGGTTTTCCAATCTGCTGGGATCTTTCTGGATCCTGGGGATGATCACAGCCAATACATCTAAAGCACGAGGAGCTTGAACAGTTCATCCACTTTACTAATGCCTTCCACCCCAACCTTATGTTCACCTGGACCATCTCTGATACCTCTCTCTCCTTTCTGGACCTCTGTTTCCATCTCTGGCAACCATCTGGAAACCGATATCTATTTCAAGCCTACCGACTCCAACAGCTACCTAGAATACACCTCCTCTCACCCACCTTCCTGCAAGAATGCCATCCCCTATTACCAATTCCTTCACCTCCACCACATCTGCTCCAGACATGAAGCATGCCACTCCCAGACATGCCAGATTTTCTCGTTTTTCAAGGACCGCAATTTCTCCTCCACAGTGGTCGAAAAACGCCCTCAATCGCATCGTTCGTGCTTCCTGCAACTCATCCCTCACACCCCCTCTCCGCAATAACAACAAAAACAGAATCCCCCTCGTCCTCACCTACCACCCCACCAACCTCTGGATTCAACACATCATCCTCCACCTGCAATCTGACCCCACTACCAAGGATATATTTCCCTCCCCACCCTTATCTGCCTTTCGGAGGGACCACTCTCTGTGACTCCCTCGTCCGCTCCACACTCCCCACTAGTCCCACCACCCCTGGCACTTTTCCCTGCAGCTGCAGGAAGTGCTACACCTGCCCCTATACCTCCCCCTTCACCCCCATCCCAGGCCCCAAGAAAACCTTCCACATTAAACAGATGTTCACTTGCACATCTGCTAATGTGGTATACTGTGTCTGCTGTTCCTGATGTGGCCTCCTCTACATCGGGGAAACCAAGCGGAGGCTTGGAGGCCGCTTTGTGGAACACCTACGCTTGGTTCACGACAAACGACTGCACCTCCCAGTCGTGAACCACTTCAACTCCCCCTCCCACTCCTTGGACGACATGTCCATCCTGGGCCTCCTTCACTACCGCAACTATGCCACCCAAAGGCTGCAGGAACAGCATCTCATATTTCACTTGGGAACCCTACAGCCCAATGGTCTCAATGTGGACTTCACAAGTTTCAAAATCTCCCCACCCCCGACCTCATCCCAAAACCAGCCCAGCTCGTCCCTGCCTCCTTGACCTGTCCGTCTTTTCTCCCACCTATCTGCTCCCCTCACCTCACTGACCAACCTCCACCCCCACCTCCTACCTACCAGCCTCATCCCCACCTCCTTGACCTGTCAGTCTTCCCTTGACTGACCAACCCCCATCCCAACTCCCCACCTACACTCACCTTTACTGGCTCCATCCCCGCCTCCTTGACCTGTCCATCTCTTCTCCACCTAGCTGCTCCTTTATCCACCTTCCATCCGCCTCCCTCTCTTTCTCTATTTATTTCAGAATCCCCTTCCCCTCCCCCATTTCTGAAGAAGGGTCCAGACCCGAAATGTTAGCTTTCCTCCTCCTCGGCCTGCTGTGTTCATCCAGCTCTACAACTTATTATCTCAAAGCCTATAGCCACTACTTTTAAAAACCCTCGATAAAAGCCATCAAGGCCACGGGTCTTGTCCACCTTCTAATGGTTTTCCCAGTACCTTTCCCTCAGTTATTGTGAATGTTCTAAGTTCTCCCCTGTTGATTTTAAGTATGCACAATAAGTGTTCAACATTTCATTTCCTTGTTTCTCATTAATTCCCCATTCTCAAATCTCAGATGAACATAAGTTACTCTTCAGAGTTTCTAAATTTCTAGTGAGCTCTCTCATACTTTAGTTTTCCCCCTTTCATTTTTGGTTTTAGTCATTCACTGATTTCTAAAAGCTTTTCAATATTCTAAACTTTGTAACTACTTTTTCCATCAAACCATGTCACATGTCATCTCAGCATATTAAAAGCTAAGAGTCCCCAAAAGACACTGTTCTCCAGCACCACTATGTTGTTGAAATATAAAAGATGTATATATCAATGACAAAGTATGTATGTATAACCTTTAACTAATTTCATTAAAAAATGTGGTGGTGGGCCTTAGTAACTCAAGACCAACTTGTGGATCATATGGGAAGCTAGATAAGAGTCAAGGTTGGTGTAGACCGGCATTGCTGAATTGTATATCTACATGGTGAAGAAAAGACTAAGGGAGGATACAGCAATCAGAAATATTTCTAAGTCAAAATCAAAAGTTGAAATCTTTATTTTTGTAATACACATATACAAAATCTCAAGAGATTGGTGGACAGTCTTCAATCTAAAACAAATTCAGGATATTTAGCTCAATATCAAAATAAGTGAAATTTAATAAAGTTTCAGGTTAATTTCTGAATAACATTTTGCACTTGTTTTCAATTTAAATGTCATTATACAAAAATCTTTCTCATTAAGCAAGGTTAAAATTTTAAAAAGCTTTAAACATATTTCTAGGAAAAAGTAGGCAAAACAATAGTTTTTTTTTTAATATTGCTTTAAACCTATTTTCAATGAGAAATAAACTGAAGAAAACTGACTTTCAAGTATGTAATTCAAGACCAAAACAACTGGTTCATCACATAGATCATCCATTTAAACACTTAAAGCATGTTGCTGGTTTAATTTTCATCTGAAATAAAACAGCTTAAACTTAAGGAATGCAATTGCCAAGAGAGATAGTAGGAACTGCAGATGCTGGAGAATGAGATAACAAGGTGTAGAGCTGGATGAACACAGCAGGCCAAGCAGCATCAGAGGAGCAGGAAAGCTGACGTTTTGGGCTAGACCCTTCTTCAGAAGTGGGGGAGGGAAGGGGGTTCTGAAATAATAGGAGAGCTTTCCTGCTCCTCTGATGCTGCTTGGCCTGCTGTGTTCATCCAGCTCTACACCTTGTTATCTCAATTGCTAAGAGAGCTAGGGTTTAGACTGTTGAAGTCAGTATTTCCCACTACTTCTGCTGTTGTCTTGGGTCTCTTTGAAATAATATCTTGATACTGTTCTTGATTAATTAAACCTTGGGTTATGCTTTTGCTTTCTTCAAATTTGGGTAATACAACAGCAATGTATCCTTCGGTAGATGGCTGATTGTGGGACAGAAAGAGCTTTACATTAATACGAATGACATAAAATAAACTATAGTAAATAAACCATTGTGTGTGATAATCCTATTTTACCTTTTTTTGTAGAAGGCTGGGATCCTGGAGAATATTTTCATTTACCTCCAGTAAACGTCCTCTGATACAACTGCAATAAAAGAGGGAGGGAACTTGAAAGGGTAATAGTATAACAGCCATGTGTTGTTTTCTTTATACAACAGTTATTATAAACCATGAAAAGTAAACAACTTCCTTTTTCTTGTATCTCATTTGAGGATTACGTTCAAGTTATCTTTCTGCCATTGTCAGCCATTTGTGAACTGTTTGTAAACAAGAAAAGCTTATTTCCTTAAACTGATCATATTTGCTGTTTTGCCTGGAGGGTGAAGCACTTTCATTGTGACAGAACATGGTGTTTAAATTAGCAACAGGACATTTCTCACGACCACAGAGTGGCTCTGTTCCTTTGCATCCAATTCTGGTTTTAAAAAAAAGTCAAAAATATTAGTTTCCAAAGGCAACTTCATGACAGTGGAGGTGCAAGATACAGCACAAATGGCAAGCAAACAACCATTCTTATCGAGTAATTTGATACCCAACTACGTGTAGAGGAATTTTGATTATCCTGCATCAATATGAATGCATCAGCTCAAATCCCTCTTTCTGTACAGGAAAGCATCTCAATACAAGTCACCTTTACACCATTTACAAGATTCAGGTCTGGTGTGCAATGGAATGGTGCAGCTCCACCACCACAAGCAGCTTAACACCATGCAGGACCCAGCAGCCTATTTGATTGGTACCCCATTCACCATGTTGAATATTAACTCCCTCCATCACCAATGCAACAACTCACAAAGGCTCCTTCCAAATCCATTATCTCTATCACTTAGGATACGGGCAGTAAGTGCACACCATAACCTGAAAAGCTCCACCCAAGCAACACACCATTCGGATTTTGAACCATATTGCTGTTCCTTCAGTGTCACCTAGTTTAAAGTCCTGGAACTCCCTCCCTATAAGCACTGTGATTACTTATACCCTATTGATTGCAGCAGTTCAAGCCGGTAGCTCAATAGCATCTTCCCCAGGTATTTAAGGATGGGAAATAACAGCAGCATTCATTGAAAAATAATATTGAACACCACTTTGCAAGAATACATTTAGGAGCCTGGGTAAGTTGCTATAGCATATCTTGTAGATGGCACTCACGACTGGCTTTAGGCAGGTGTAAAGTGGGATGCCAAACAGGTAGTTTTATCCTGATGGTATCATGCTTGAGTGTTGTTGGAACTGCACTCTCAGCAAGTGGAGACTGTATTTCATCACAATCCTAGCCTATGCCTAACAGATAATGTACAGCCTTTGAGGAGACAGGACATGAGCTATTCACCATAGTATTCTCAGTGTCTAACCATGTTCTTCTCTTTGTATTGTTGTTTCTAGTCAAAGGTAACCTGGCCCCAGGGTGTTGACAGTGGGGGTTTCCCCTGATGGCAATGCCATTGAATGTTAAGAACTGATAGCTAAATTTACTTTTCCTGAAGATGGTTATTGCCTGGCACGTGTGGCACAAATTTTACTTGCCACTTGTCACCCCAAACCTGGATACTGTCCAGGTCTTGCTGGATTTGGACTTGGACTGCTTCAGTATAGTTATGAAATGGTGCTGAGCATTCATTTCAAACCACCCCACATCTGACTTTATGATGGAGGAAAGGTCATTGATGAAGCAGTTCATGATGGTGGGGCCTAGGACATTACCCGGAGGAACTCCTGCAGAGATGTCCTGGAATGGAGATCACTGACCTCCAATATTCACAATCACCTTCCTCTTTGCCAGGTATGGCCCCAACCAGTGTAGAGTTTCCTCTGCCCGTTGATTCCAGTTTTGCTGCAGTGCTTGATGCTAAGGGCTGTCACTCTCATCTGACTTCTGCAATTCAGCTCTTTTGTCCATGTTTGAACCAAGACTGTCATGAGGTGAGGAACTGAATGGCCCTGGTGAAACACAGTCAGAGCATCAATGAGCAGACATTGCTAAGCTTGACAGCTGTATTAAGCACCATTACTTTGCTGATGATCAAGAATAGACATGTACACTGGACATACCAACAATATGGGCACTTTTCCACACTGTTGGGAAGATGCCATTGTTGTAGCTGTACTGGAACAGCTTGGCTAGAGGCCTGGCAAGTTCTGCAGCACAAGTTGTCAGTACTATTGTTGGAATGTCAAGAGCCATAAGCCTTTGCAGTATCCAGTGTTTCCAGCTGTTTGATATCACATGGAGTGGATCTGATTGGCTAAAGACTGGCATCTGTGATGCTAGAGGCCTATAGTAGAGCCAGGATGGATCAAACTCAGCACTTCTGGCTGAAGATTGTTACAAACACTTCAGCCTTTCCTTTTGCACAGGATGTGCTGGGCACCCCAATGATTGAGGATGGGAATACTAGTGGATCCTCTAGTGAATTCTTTGCTTGTACAGCACCATTCACGAATATACATGGCAGGAGCTCAGAGCTCATATCTAAGATAAAAAAAATGCTGCAGGAAATCTGATAAACATATCTGCTGGAGAAGCTCAGCAAGCCTGGTAGCATCTGTGGAAAGAATTACACACACACAGTTAACACTGAGCTCAAAAGGACTCTTCTGCAGAAGAAATTACAGTATTTAGCTTTGGAAGGCTTAGATCTGATGGACTGGTTGTGAAATTGCCTTGCTCAATCAATCAATCAATCACTTACGACTTATGCTGTTTGGCACACAAGTAGTCTTGTTTTGCAGCTTCACTGGGTTGACACTTCATTTTTAGGTATGCCTTGTGCTGTACCCGGCACTTCATTAAGCCAAGATTGATCCCTTGGTTTGATGGTAATGGTGGAGTGGGGGATATACCAGGCCATGAGGTTGCAGATGATGTTTGCTGATGATAGCCCACAGCACCTCAGATACCCAGTCTGAAGTCGCTAGATCTGTTCAAAGATGATCCCATCTAGCACAGTGATATAGCTCCACACAACACAATGTAGGGTATTCTCAACGTAGACTTTGTCTCCACAAGGAGTTTGGGGCTTAGTTACTCTTCCAGATATCATGCACAGATGCATCTGCATTAGGCAAATTGATGAGGATGAGGTCAAGTATGTCCGTTCTGAAGAAGGGTCACTGGACCTGAACCATTAATGCTGATTCTCTCCACACATGCTGCCAGACCTGTTGAGATTTGAGCAACTTCTAGCATTTGCACACTTCTTTCATTTGTTTTTTTCCCCTTGTTAGCTCTCTCAACACCTGTTGCACATCCTACAGAGATTGTTGATTACGAACATTGTTTTCTAACCTAGTGCTGTAAGACGTTTTGGGGTTCAGCGACAATGTTGAAGATACCCAGGAAAACTCCTTCACAAATTGCATACCATTGTGCACCATCTACGGTCAATCTGCCCTGTCAGTAGATGTCTACACTGTTGTTTAACCAACCAGAAGGCCAGCTGTCCAATTTTGGGAGTCTCTGAATTATGAGTCCAGTCCATTATGCCATCGTCTCTCTCAGACAGTCACCTAATGACATGTTCGGTGATGCCTACATCCCATGAACAATTTTAAAAACTGTCACCTTTCAGAAAGGACCTTAAAATTGTGATTGAAATAATGGGAAATTATTTTAAAAATCCAAAAATTGTAAAAGGAAGAGAATGTACAAGTGTTCTGCTAATTCAGTAATTTTAGTTCTGGATTGAGACATTTTCCTCAATGCTGTAGGATCCATTTCCAAAAGAACAAGCCTCCATTAAAAACTTAAAGCCACAACACACGAGAAAAATATCAAAAGTCCTAAAAATAACATTATTTAATTTGGCACAAAATAAGGATCAGACAATGCTGACAATTTTTTGTTTTTCCAAAGTAATTGGCACACATAAAAAGCCATCATTTGAAATACACTTCCAGCGACTGATGAGCTCACAGCTAACACTGTCTTGCAGCTCATGCAGAAACATTTTAAAAAGGCAGTCACTACATTTTTTTTTACTTCGTCAAAACTGAGAGGATACACAAAAGGATTTCCCAAACACATCAATTCTATTTTGAAGGCTAGTCAACCCTCACTGCAAAATGAATGAACGCCAAGCCCATTAATATGAGTATTTGTGCATAATGACCCAAACAAATCAAGTGGTTAAAAAGCATTTTAAAAAGTTAGAATGGAATATCAATTCATCGAGCCAAGATATTAACAGTAACTTTAAACAGGCCAAAACCTACAGCTTGTCTCTCTGCACAGCTGTTCTGGTACCCAAACAGATGTACCATCACGTCTTCAGACTGCTCCTCCTATCACTGGCTCTATACTCACTTGTATTTCCAGCAGATGTGATGCAGTTGGGCCTATCACATATTTTCGCTCATTTTTCACCCCCAATATTGACCTTTTGAAAGCGAATTTGCTGACTGCCTGTGCCTCCAACAGATTTTAAAGTTGTTTTGGCAGGATAAATGTCAATAAGGAGACACATGCAACCCTAAATCTGACTCAGCAATACCTCTACCATGTTTTTTTTGAATAGGTAGGTGTTTCAAGACAAGAGAGATTTGCAGTCAAAGATTTCCATTTATGGCTGGTGGTAAAAGGGAAAATGTAATATGTGGTACAGAGAAATCTCTCAAATACACAATGTTAATGCACAAAAGTAAATGCCAAATTAGGAAAATTTCACAATAGTTGCAATATTTAATGAATTTCACATAATTATAACAGTCTTCAAAACAAAGAGAAAGACCTTGCCTGTATATTGTGTATTCCTCGCCATCTGAGCACAGTATTCTGCACAATGGTGCAAGTTCTGTTAGAAACTGTCCACCCTGAAATAAGGTTAAAACAAACATATAATCAAACTCACCAGAAAGAGAATCAATCAATCAGCATATCACAGCGACAATTTCTATAAATTTTCCACAAATTGGCTAAATAGAAAAGTTGCAAGTACAATTCTTGCAAGGTATAACAAAGGTGCCAATGCTTACTATATCAAAAGGTATCCAGCTGCAGCCTGAGGGTCATATACAGCTTTGTGAAGACCTATGAATCACTTCAAACAAAGAGATAACTACTGTAGCTACTGCATGGCAGCACCGTATCTAGTATCTAATACAAATCTACTGATCACAAAACACGTTAGGATACGTAGAGCTAGAAGACTGGCCTCATTAGCAATTTTGAAAATAGAAACCTAGCCATTTGCTCATCTTGTATGCTCAAGAAGGAAAGAGAATGCAAAGTTACCTTGCTATCAGATCACTGTTCACGGTACATTGTGCAAACTTACAAATCAGCCATGGGTCACCACGTTCAGACTGTAAAAGAAAAGTGTTTGGTCTGACCTCAAACTCCCTTGGAAAGGCAAAGTATCTCAGAATTTTAAACAAGCTAAAGAATCTATTTGATGCTGGTACTGTATAGTGGCTATGCAAGCCTTTTCTTGCCCCCCTAACAAAGATGCTGCTATCAGTACAAAAAGACACATTCTTATCGTCACACAATTGAGCAACATTTATGTATTAATTTCAGGGCAGTGCAATGCCAGGTATGTTAGTTGTATGTCCCAGCAACTGGCTAATCTAGCAGCATGTTGCTTTGGTTGTTTATGATAGGCATGACACAGACCGTATTCAATGAGCCTGTGCTTGCAAAACCCAGAACAAATGCATATTGTTCAATATGATGCCACGATTGGCAGCATTTGTTGAATAATCCTTAGGATAGCTATTAGGAACTCACAGCTCATAAGATAAAATTCAAGCTCACAGCCTAAGCTTCCAACAGTGGAATACATTCACAGCCAGGGACCCATGTTCTGTAAACAAAAGGAATGTGTTTGAGTCTTAACTTTTTCAAACCACACCAGAGCTTGGGAGCTAAGTTCCCTGTTGGTGGTGCCATGGCAACACGCTAGCCAATCAATGCATTCTTATGGTCATTACCAAAATTAATAATAAGATAAACACTGAGCTGCAAATTTAAATCAGTTGGTAACTGAGCTTTAAGTTTACATGTGGGAATTTGTGTTTTTGGATAACTGATTGGAACATCTTAATTCAATTTGCAAGAGACTTCACCAAAATTAATGTCATAGTAATTAACTTGGCTCAGACAGCCTGGAAGACTTGCAAGAAAAATGGCCCAAAATGAGAAAAAAATATTCATTCATTCAGTCTCCTTTAGAATAATGCCTTCTTGATTTTTAAAGAAAAATAATTTATGGGATGTGGGCATTCCTAGATGGGCCACTGTTTATTGCACATCCATTGTTGCACTTGAGGTCGTTACGAAGAACTGCTCACTTGAACTGCTCCAGTGCTGTAGGTAAATCCACAATGCCATTAGGGAGAGAATTCCAGGATTTTGATCCAGCAACCATGAAGGAACTGCAATATATTTCCAAGTCAGGATAGTGAGTGGTTTGAAGGGGAACTTGCAGTGGCATTGCTCAGGAAATCTGGCATGTCCATAGCATCCTTCACCAACTTCTACAGATGCACCATTGAAAGCTTGCTGTTCAGATGCATAAAGGCCTGGTACAGCAACTGCTCTGCCTAGGACTGTAAGAAACTACAGAAGGTTGTGTGCACAGCCCAGACCATCACGGAAGCCAACCTTCCATCCACAGAGATAACAAGGTGTAGAGCTGGATGAACACAGTAGGCCAAGCAGCATCAGAGGAGCAGGAAGGCTGACGTTTCGGGCCTAGGTCCTTCTTCAGAAATCCTTCCATCCACAGACTTCATTTATACTGTTCACTGCCGTGGAAAGGCTGCCAATATCATCAAAAACCCTTCACACCCCAGTAATGATCTCCTATGACCTCTTCTGTCAGGCAGCAGATACAGAAATCTGAACATGCACATGAGCAGGTTCAGGAACAGCTTCTTCCCGGCCATTATCAGACTGATGAATGGACTCTCTAGCCTCAAATAATGCTTATCTTGCTAACGTTGATCTCTCCTTGCGCACGCCCTGTGTGATGTAACCTGTATGCCTCTAAGTCTTTTTGATCTGTACATCCTTTGCTTACTATGATCTGCATGTATTGCTCGTAAACAAAGCTTTTCACTGTATTTCAGTACATGTTGACAATCAATCATTTGTCTGTTGCCCTGGTCTCTCTAGACGAAAGTGGTTGTGGGTTTGGAAGATGTTGAAAATTTCTGCAGTGCATTTTGTCAATGGTAAACACTGGTGGTGGTGGAGGGACTGAATGCTTGTAAGTGTGCTGTCGTTCAAGCAGGCTGCTTTTCCTGGACGGTATCAAGCTTCTTGAGTTGTTGGAGGCACACTCATTCAGGCAAGTGGAGCGTACGCCCCAAACTCCTGACTTGTACCAGAATGAGTTAATAATAATGTCTTTTGAAGTCTGCAAGTAATACTAAATGTGAAAGTACAGCAAATTTTAGAAAAGGTATTCACAAGGATTGCGTCTTCCAAGAAATTTAAAAACAAACTGAAAATACTAGATGAAATATCCAATTCAGTTCAAGGACACAATTGTATAATATAGAAACATTGGGAGAAAAGAGAGCTTTGGAGAATGGATGTGCTTTACAACATTTACAAATCAAATTGGGCTTATGGATTATTGCAATAAAACAAAGCAATGGAACCATCAGCGTACGATAGCTAAAGCTACATACTATGAAAATAATTTGATAAGACACATGTATCAGCTTCAGTTCCTTTACAAAAATATAAGTTTTCAAACAAGCATCTAAAATAAAACTCCATCAGAATCACAAACAGAAACAAGAGGCGTGTGATGTGTGACATGTACAGATCCAAGTTACTTTGGGTTAGCTGAAATTTTTTTGATAAGTCTTCATTTTGCTCTTATGTATACTTTCCAAAATCTTTAGGTCTTGGATCTAGAAACATAGGAGATCACTGACAAAGCATATTTTTTTAAAAAAAGTCCTGCTGAAAGCCACTACTGAAATGGCAGACCATATTTTTTTTAAATGGTGGTGACCATGGATTTAAATAACATTCCAAGAAATAAAATGTTGCAAAATCATTTATTCAAAAGCACACATTTACAACAACATTGCCAGTCATTCTATCACTTCTACATCCAAGGTCATGAGGTAAGGAACGAGAGCGAACGACAGAGAGAGCGAGAGCAAGGGAGGAAAGAGAAGGAATTCAAATAAAAAGAGATCAAACATACCCGTTTAGATTTTCCTGAAACCTTGTTTTGTAGTCGACTACAGTTGGCACTGATCTGGTAGCTGATATTTTTTATTTCTTTCCCACTCTGTAATAGAGGGTGAGATTCTGCCAGTGTGATGACACATATCCTATTATAATCAAGAGTGGCATGAATTAGAGCTCTAAAGCAAATAAAAGAACAGGCCTACATACTTCCAGTGCTAGAATAAGTGCTATATTCTATATGTCAGGATTCCAATAACCATATTTAGTCACGTGGATTATCATGTGCCGATTACTGTGGTTCTAAAGCTATCGTTAGTGACCAATTACATATATTGGCATGGTTAAGATGGTTTAGTAATAAACAAGACAACTAAATTGCTCTTTCAAGAACATAAATCGAAAGTCAACTTCCATTTAATTAGCACCAAATCATTTCTTTGGAATGATAAAAACTACACTAATTTTGAAGTGTAGTCATTACTATTATTTACTTTTGAAGTGCAGTTATTACTATTATTTGGTAAGAGATAACATCATTTACACTTGACAAGGTCCTACAAAAATTACAAATTGAATTTCTAGTTAATGAATTACCTTGATTGGGTTGGTCGAGTGTAAAATGTTAGCCAGAACATTAGTAAACAAAACTATTCTTTGTAATGCTGTGCGAGTAATATGGCAGGCCATTAAACTCTGTCTGCTTCAGTGAAAATGTTCAGACCCTGGAGAGGAACTTAAATCCAATAACTTGTACTAGTGAGTCAACCTTGAACTACATTTTTAAATTCAAGGATGAAAACTCAGTGTAAAATTAATTACTTGTGTTTTCTTAGACTATTGTTATGTAGGATTAATTTCCCTTATACAGAGACTTCATGTAAAAAAAAATCATGACTTAGCACAATTGCTAGGTATTTCATAATATGAGCTAATGGTCTAACTGTGTGCTTTGGAACCCTGTTTTAATTCTTTACATCAGATTTCATAAATACACTTAAAAATATTACATATACAAATACAAAAGGAAAATGTATTTAGCCCATTCCGTCTAAATTGCTCCTCAATTTATCTATTGTCAAACAACTACATACGTTAGCTCAGATCACAGGAAATCACTGCTACTTATATCTTTATGTTATTCAGTTAAATTGCTGATTCCAATAATTTGATTCAGACTAAGGTGCAAAGTTATTTCTCGTAAAAGAAAGCAGTATCTCTGGAACACACACCTCCTGCATGAAATTAAAATAATGCATGCCAACAAGATGACGTTTCAAAAGAAGCCATTTACTGTCAATTGTGATGGCTTATGAAGTATTCTCCTTAAATTTGGCTGCCCTGTGAGATCAAAGGCAGCTGTATCACTGCAGCAACCCTCTTTTACATCTTTCTCATTCCAATACCACCTCAGCTTCACCCTTCTGAAAGGACCCAGTACCCAGTTTTGAACCACTTATTTACTCCACACGATAGCAAGGAACAGCTGAATGAAGGCACTGGATGCTGTAAAGGCTGACAACATTCTAGCAACAGTACCAAAGACATGCTGGAGGACCAGAAGTGCCATTTGCCAAGATGTTTCAATACAGCTGTAACACTGGCATCTATCCAGCAAATGTGGCACACTGCCTAGGGCACTAACAAGACCATTAAGGACAAATCAGCCCACTTAATTTACAATCCATCCACCACCCTCAGTACTTACTTTCTCCACCACTACACATTGGCTGTACAATAAACCATCTACAAAATACACGACAGGAACTCACCAAGCCTCCTCTGACACTAACTTCCAAACCTGCGACCTCTTACTACCTAGATGGACAAAGCAATACGTGGTAACAGCACCACTTACAAATCTCCCTCCAGGAGCACAAATCAGCCCGACTTAAAACCATACTGCCATTCCTTCACTGTCACTGGCTCAAAATCCTGGAACTCCTTGGCTAATAGCACTGTGAGGATCTCTACATTAAAAGGACAGCAGCATTGTAGCAATTTAAGAAAGCAGCTCACAACCACCTTCCCCAGGGCAATTAGGAATGGACAATAGATGTAGTTCTAGTCAGTGATGGCCACAACCCATTAATATTCTTTTCTTAAATAAAACTGCCCAAAGGCATGGAGAGGGTCTACAAAACATATTGGAAGCTGTTCGACTTACACCATCTGCAATCCTAAACCAAAATCACTTCAGTCACTGAATTCAGTACACAGGTGTGCATTGAGAAAATAAGTTTCAGCTCACTGTCAACATATAAGCAAACAGGCTAGGCACTGAACACCCTAAAAACTAAAGGTCCTCTCCCAAATGACTTCCACAGCACTAACCACTCTTAGTCCATATATATGTACTTTTAACAATGCAAACTAAGACAATGGAACTGTTTGGATATCGTTGAGGCTTTATGTGATTTCTTGGAAGTGAAAGTTAAAACAAAAGGTCAGCAAAGGTAGTTTACTGGAGGATACAAACCAAGACTTTTAAGACGGATAAGAGATTGTCAAGTCATTAAGTCTATAAAAGAAAACCAACTTGGAGAAATCCTAGGATCCACGCTACTATTGCCTAACAACAATCCTGAAAGAAAATCAGCTGAAGAGACCTTAGTGAAGACTTTCTTTTCTGGGAATCAAAAAAAAAAACAAACAAACAAAAAAAAAGAAATTCACACAAATCAGTGTTTCGGAATCCTTAAATTCTGAAAGCTGAACTGCAAAGAAAAAAATCCTAAAACCTACATTTAACTGACCTTCCACCCAAACTAAGGATCCCCCGTTGCTCTGCATTTGACAGCAGCAACTTAATTTCTTTGGTTCCTGGTCAGACATTACGAACACGGGAAGAGAAAGAGACAGGAAGATTGGGAGCCAGGAGAAAATGAGAGGAGTGGGGTGATGAGGGCTCAGCTGCTAGGGGAGCAGGCCTCGTCACCCCTTGACTCTCCTTGCGCACACACAACCTCTCCCCCAGCTTCTAGATCCTCCTTCTCTTCTCCCTCTAGGAATTCCCCATCATCTGTCTCGTATCCCCCTTCACACCACCAAAGCCCACTTCAAAAGCATGTGCACTTCCCGGTGTATGCGCAGTAATGCATTTACACATGACATCACACAAAGCGCAAGTGATTTCAGGGCTTGGAACCGTGCATCGCCCAATGAGTGCACATGTGTGGTTTCCTGCAGTTGTCATTATCAGCAATGATAATTAGTGATGATGGTAAGATCACAACAATGTACAATATTCCATTATTCTTTATGAAGTTGCAATAGCAATACATCAGATACACCCACCTATTAGAATGGTGTAAGATACAATGATCTTCACACGGTTTCCCTTTAACATCTGGAACAAAGAAAAAAAAACTGTCGTCAAAAATTGCAAAGCTATTTTTTTAAAAATGCCTCATAGCAGTACATAGTGCAAAGTTATTATATTCCATCTTAAATAGATCTTACATCTTCCTGTTAAATTGACTCATTTTATAACCTACATGCCACGTGTTTTCCCATCACCCCCACACATTACTTTTTCTCCCCTCATCAAAATCTGAACTTATTCACAAACTTGACCTTCCAGTTCTTGATTCACCCAGGTTTCTTAGACAGCATCTTCCAAACCAGTGACCACTATCATTTAGAAGAAGAAGAACAAGAGCAACAGATACACAGAAACACCACCATGCAAGTTCCCCTCCAAGTTCTCGTTCCTTCCTACTTGATCTGCTTGCCCTGACCTATATTGCTAACATTCCTCCTTTCAACAATAAAATTGAGCCAGTTCCTTTAATCACAGATGTTGCCTGTCCTGCTGAGTATTTCTAGCATGTTTAATTTCTAATTAAAACAATTGCTGCTTATTCAACTGCTTCATTTACGTGGTGTACTGTGTTAACTGGTTGTTATACATCTAACCTAACTGACTACACTTCAAAGGTAATTCATTAGAAGTGAAGTGCTTTGACAGAAACTTGCATTCACAAATTGAAAGCTAAGTCAGGATAAAGAACAGATGCTTAGCAATACATCCAGCATGACTGTTGCTAACATAATTACTGCTAATTTCAGTTTAACTGGGGTCTCAGAATGGATAGTATCCAATAATAGATGCAGTTGACTGGCAAATCATTTCAAGGCAGGTGATTTGAAGATAGAAATCTACCAAAACTGTGCACAAGGTTGACAGTGAGAGCTAGAAATCTGGATGCCAAAGACTTCTAGAATGTGCAACCAGCCCTGGTCATGCAAAAGTCATTACTTATCAGGGTACTACACATTGTGAAGAACAAAAGTCAGCTCAGATTAGTGCCAGTTGCCAAATCTCTAAAGCAGTATATTGAAGTTTGAAGTGTCAGTCTTGTAACTACTTAGTTATACAATTTTATAGTGGGACTCTTGTGGCACAGTTAGTATCCTTTAAGCCTGCAGGTCTATTTGTAAAATTGACATGTGTTCATGTACAATCACATGTCTGTTCATGACAGCTTATCTTTAGAAGATGAGAGATGCTGTTAATGTCTCAATCAGTATGCCTTTAAGAGACATTCTCGTGTCATCATTGTATCCCAGACCCAAGGGTATAAAGGCCTCATTGTGATTTGATTTGATTTATTGTCATGTATACTTAAGTACACTGAAAAACTTTGTTTATGAGCAGCGCAGGCAGATCATAGTAAGCAAGGACATACAGATCGTAGGGCAAAAAAATACTTGGACAGAGGCATACAGATTACAGTGCACAGGGTGTGTGCTAGGCAAGATCAACATTAGCAATTCCAGCATTATTTGAAGTTAGAGAGTCCATTCAGCAGTCTAATAATGGCAGGGAAGCTGTTCTTGAACCTGCTGGTGTGTGTTCAAGCTTCTGTATCTTCTGCCGGACAGAAAAGGTTGAAGAAGAGCATTAAAGGGAGGGGGTGGGTGAGGGGAGAAATGGGTCTTTGCTGATATTCGCAGCCCTTCTGCGGCAACGAGCCGTGTAAAAGGAGTCCACGGATGGAAGGTTGGCTTCCATGATGGTCTGGACCGTGCACGCCACCTTCTTACAGTCTTGGGCAGAGCAGTTGCCCCACCTGGCCATTATGCACCCGGACAGTATGCTTTCAATGGTCTACCTGTAGAAGTTGGTAGGGGCCTTGTGGGCATGCCAAATTATCCTGGGGTCCCTTGAAGGTCATACACTACCGGAAGCACATTCCTTTGTAACGTCAGAGCTTACCATCAGAACAGACGAATGTGCTTATGAATGCAGTGTTTGCATACAATAGCTAGATAGAATACACATCTGCTTAATTCTTCAATACCTACACATTTTATGTAGGAGAGATAACAAACCACGAGGTAAAATACCCTGTTAAAAACATCACAGGCTATCCTAGAAATTAGGCTGAAAGCTGATAAGCTTTAATTTTGCTTTCCCCTTAATTCAATAAGAAAGTATTAACTATTGAAAGAAAGCATGGAAGAAGCCAGGGTTCAAATGAATCAGACTTCTGCGCATAGTTACTTCATAAAAGCGCTAGTTGATCTTCTGATATTCTAGACATTTTCTAAGCATGCAATTCAATTAAACGGATCCCAGAGTCAATGTAATAGGCATACTCAAATTGGCCTTCAGCAACCCAAGCACTGAATGGACATAAAGGTTCAGTTCGAATCTGCATTTTCAGCAGAGTGCATACAAACATACGTAGTAGACCATATAGCCCCTCAAGCTTGTTCTGCCATTCAATTAGATCGTAGCTGATCAAATTCCATGCTCATCTACTCCAAATAACCCGCTATTCCCCTGCCAAACAAAAATCTGAATTTTTTAAAGACAGGTGGACAATGGTAAGGCACAACATTCTAATGTCACAAAACCCTAAAATTTAATCTAATTTGAAAGGGCAACTCGAATTTTAAAACAGCAACCCAAGTTCTGACCCACTAAAGGAAACATCCTTTCCACATCCACCTTGTCAAGGCCATTCAGAATTTTAAATTCAAATCAAGTCAACTCTCACTTTAAACTTCAGTGGAAATAAACCCAGACTGCTCAACCAATCAAAAGACAACACAAAAGTCCAGACTTCAATCCAGTAAATCTTCTCTGAAGTACCTCCAGTGTATGTATATCCTTATAAAAGGGATCAAAACTAGATACAATATTCAAAGGTTTGGCAAAGATCTGTAGCTCGGGTGGTGGGTGAGGTTATTGAATTGCTCGCCGACCTGGCTTGTTCTCGTTCAGACGTTTCATCATCATGCTAGGTGACATCATCAATAGAGCCTCTGATGAAGTGGTGTTTTTCACCATACCACATATAAACCCATACAGATCAAAACCAGAAATGACACTACTCACCATTACAGACCAAAAAGTATAAATTCCAAACCGAGTAGAATAACATTGCTTCATCGGAGGCTCCACTGACAATGTCACCTGGCATGGTGACGAAACGTCTGACTGAGAACAAGCCAGACAGCGAGCAAGTCAACAACCTAGATACAGTATTTCCAGCTGTAGACTTGTGCATGGGAAATCGTATTTCACTAATTTGCTTGAGTTTTTTGAAGAAGTAACAAAGAAGATTGATGAAGGCAGAACAGTAGACCTGATCTATATGGACTTCAGAAAGGTGCTTGACAAGGTTCCACATGGTAGACTAGTTAGCAAGGTTGGATCACATGGAATACCATGCCCTCCAGTTCTGGACTCCCCCATTTGGATTCAGAACTGACTCTAAGTTAGGCGACAGAGGGTTGCTTTTCAGACTGGAGGCCTGTGACCAGCAGTGTGGCACAAGGATCGGTGCTGGGTCTACTGCTTTTCATCATTTATGAAAGTGATTTGGATGTGAACATAGGAGGTGTAGTTAGAAAGTTTGTAGAAAACACCAAAATTGGTGGTGTAGTGGACAGCAAAGAAAGGTTACCTCAGAGTACAATCGGATCTTGATCAGATGGGCCAATGGGCCGAGGAGTGGCAGATGGAGTTTAATTTAGATAAACGGGAGGTACTGCATTTTGGAAAGGCAAATCAGGGCAGGACTTACACATGTAATGGTAAGGTCCTGGGGAATGTTGCCAGGATTGGATGGCTTGAGCTATAGGCAGAGGCTGAATAGGTTGGAGCTATTATCCCTGGAGCATCAGAGGCTGAGTTTTATAAAATCGTGAGGGGCATGAATAGGTGACTAGCTAAGGTCTTCTCGCTGGGTTGGGGGTGGGGGGAGGGTGGAGAAGGAGTCCAGAACTAGACGGCATAAGTTTAAGGGGAGAAAGGAAAGATTTAAAAGGGGCCTAACGGGCAACCTTTTCATGCAGAGGGTGATGCGTGTATGAAATGAGCTGCCAGAGGAAGTGGTGGAGGCTGGTACAATAACATTTAAGAGGCATCTGGATGGGTATAGGAAGAGGAAGGGTTTAGAGGAATATGGGCCAAAAGCTGGCAAATGGCACTAGATTAATTTAGGACATCTGGTCAGACAAGTTGGACGGAAGGGTATGTTTCCACGCTGTACATCTCTGACTCTACAACACACCAATGCTCTATGTAACTGAAGCACATCATCCCTTGATGTTCAATTGCTCAATAGATGACAGCATTCTATTAGCCTTCTTGATTCTGTCACACCTGCATACTAACCTGTTGCTTAGGCACCAGGACATCCAAATCCCTTTGCACCACAGAATTCCAAAGCTGCTCTCTTTTTGAGATTTACTGTTTTTTTCCTTATTCTTCCTGTCAAAAGTTCACAACTGCACTTTTCCCATTTTATACACTACCAGATTTTTCCTTACTCACCCTATCCATACCCATCTGCAAGATTGAAATTTCACATATTTACTGTTTATGTTCTTAGGACATCCGAAAAGCTTTACAGGCAATGTTGAGTCACATTACATTTTGAGTCTCAAGATACTGAGTTACAATTTTTTTAAGCAGTTGGAATTATTTTCCTTCAAATTTGATGTGGGTCTGCAATATCCACCTCCTGTGAAAATTCCACTGTGGCAGGCTGAATAGGGAAACCTTATGCATTTTATCAAGTTATTTTCTACTAAGCATTTCATCATAACATAAATAATAGGGAGAATACAGCAGCTGCCCGTTAACAGACTCCATATAGTCTGACAGTTTGGCCACGCCATCTCGAGATTAAAAATCTCATCAGATACAATGGAATCCTTCCAGTCAGAGCTGAGTTTAGGCTGTGCTCCCGTAGAAATCCAGATTATTCCCCTAAACTTCTGCGAAACGAAAGACAACCTAATCCCCACCTTCCAGTCTTTAGATACGATTACGGTTTATTGTCTTCTCTTCCCTAACTTGAAAACCAGTGTCAGTCTGGTGCTCGCAAATTCAGGCTGGGGTCTTAACCGTTCCGGGTGAATACGGCTCCCGTTCTTCGGTCCGAGCCAATTCGACCGCCCGGATGTTAGGGCCTTCCGTCGGGGTTGGCGGAAATCTTCTCTCTCTCTCCCCCCCGGCCCAGGACAAGGCTCCGCAGTGACAGAGCCGCCCACCCTGCCTTGTACCATCAGCGACAGAGCCGCCTACCTGTCTTATACCAGCGCCTAAAGTAGCGATCGACCATTGAGGGATAGGTCTGAGCCTGCGCCTCCTCCACCTCCATCACACCGGAAGCCAGTACAGTCTCCTAGCAACACGGCGGAAGTGCCGGTTGAATTCTTGATGCTATGTGTTTGTTCCAGTTCCAGGCGCTTGGTACTTCATAACTAATTGCTGTGCAAAGTAAAAACTTTTATACTGTTCTGTAGGGGGATTATCGGAATCGAAACGTCGACTGTGCTTCAGATGCTGCCGGACCCGCTCAGTTTTTCCAGTATTTTCTGCAGTTGTTAATGGAGGGTGCTTGCTACATTTCACTTTTGTCAGGTACCTATAATGTATAAGTTCACCATGCAGTCTCCTGGGGGAACTGCAACAAATGTAGCGGATAACCCCTCTGATTCTAAAGGTGTGATTATTTGAATCTGCTGATAACTAAAAGACACTGCAGCTTCTGGGCCTGGAAAAGTTGCACTGAACGTGGAGAAGTATTTTACGTCAGTCATTCAGAGATGTACAGCTCGGAAAGAGACCCTTCGATCCATCTTGAATGTGCTAACCAGGCCATAGCCCACTCTGCACTTCCAAAACAGAAAATAAAGCTACCGTGACTTTATTTCTATTTGACAAAGACGCAATTACTCTGGGGAGAAACAAAAACAAATACACAAGCAAAAAATGGCTCTACCTTGACTATGTCACCACCAACCTCTTTTGGGCAGGAACCACAGGGGACCAAAATAAAAATAAACAAAAGCAAAATCAAAGAAAGCAAATAATTAAATAAACAAATAACCAATTAAATAAATAAATCCGCTCTGCTTCATCCCCATGGAGCACTCCTGGGACAAGGACAACAATGGTTTAAAATCCAGAGGATGTTCCCCTGCTCATTTCAAATAAAGATAAAATTCCCCTCAGACTGATCCCCATCAAGCACATCTGGAACAGGGCCAGTATGGAGCTAAAACAGAAGCCCTTTGGCTCTTCCAAGGGGTTCAAAATTGGAACAGATGGAAAATAAGACAGTCCTCTTCCCTGGACACCAAACCATAAACTAATGTAAACTCAAAAAGGCAAAATGGAGACTTATACTACAGGGACAATTAACTAAATCAGAATATCATCATCCAGGCTGATAATGCACTCCAGCCCCCATGGCGCCCAGCGGTCTCAACCATGCCGGTGAGCACCACGCACTCCCTCTCCAGGAACACCCGAGCATAGGCGTAACCACAAAAGGGGTCAGACAGTCAGGAACAATGAGCCCCTTTTAAGTCTGTTGCCTGGACCTGTTGATGGCCATCTTGGCCAGGCCCAGGAACAAAGGCACCAGAAGGCTCATACACGTGCCTGCCACTCCCTCCACTGGATGCCTGTAGATCAGGAGTGTGGGGCTGAACTGCAACCAAATTTTAACAGCAGATCCTTCAAGAAACTAAAACGGGGCTGCAGATGTGTGCACACGACATAAATGTGCAACACTGTCTCCTCCAGGCCACAGAACATGCACGTGGACTGGCACCTGGTAAACTTACACATTCGCCGGTAGCACCGGACCGCCACGTGCAGCACTCTCCACCCCGTAACTCTGATGTGAGAAGGGAAGACCCCTTTATAGAGGGCCCTCCATTGGAGATCTCTACCACCAGAGGGCAAAACATTATGCCAAGGCGTGCCTGGGCAGCAGATGAAGGCACAGCAGTGAAGAGTATGCAGCATCAACCTGTACAAATAATGCCTCCGTGCCGTCTAAAAGGCCATCAGGAGGATAGTGCTGAGATGGCTTAGATTGTGGGGCACAAAGTCATGGGGGAGGGTCCGCAGCGCGGGGCCAATGTCAAGTTCAGGATGGACAGGGGTCAATTCGTCCAGAATCAAAATGCATGCCTAAGGAGCCTCGAGTGTACATGAGGTATCGGGGCCGAGTGCCTTGTCCATCAGGCTCCAGATGACTCAGGTCACAAACCAGAGACGGATTGACGCCCTTACAGTCAACTGTGCTGGTGTTATTCAGCCCCCTCCTCTGCCATCCAGCGCATTCCCCGACTCTGGTCGGCCCTGAATCCTGAACTCTCTCCTACCTTGGCCAGTGCAAACCGCGCTCGAGGAGGAAACTGGTCCTGTGCAGCAGCTTCCCAACGAAAGCTGCCACTGCTGTAGTGGGAGAACTCCAGCGCAAGCCAACCGTGCCCCACACGATTGATCAGTTTCAGATTGAAGGCAGGCAACTCCTGGAAGAAGACCCGAGGCTGGGGACCACTCCACGAACAGGAATTGCATGTTGTAATGGAGGCCGCACACCTGATGGAAAAACTACGTCATCAGGGCGCACGATCTTGGAGGAAGCAGAACGTAAAGGTATTGCTGCAAGATCTGAAGGCAGAAAGTCGCTCCCTGGGTGTGAAGGCAAACAAGCACCTGACCACCCTCCTCAAGCGGAAGACTTAGAACCGTAGCAGCGAGACAGTGTTGCCTCTTGTCCCAGGAAAACTTGACGAGCTATTTCTGGACAAAGCCAGGGAGAGGGACCAAAGTGACCAGTCAGTACCACAACATGGTGACCACCAGCTGATTTATGACCAGCACTTGCACCCTGTAGGACAACACTCGGAGCAGTCCTGTCCAGCGTGCTAGGTGAGTGGTCACCTTGGTCTCCAATTCATGCCAATTTACTGACCAGGATTCCTCAGCAGGACAAGGGTGGATTCCTAGGTAGAGGAGGTGAGTGGTACCCCATGTGAAGCACTGGAGCTCCTCCGGAAGAATATCCATCTGCCAGGGACTGATCAGAACTCCTGAACACTTGCTCCAGTTGATCCTTGCAGAGAATGCCAGAGACCTCCTGGCACTCGTGCATCCTTCAGGTCAGCTGGGCCTGTGAACAGAAGGAGCACATCATTGACATATGCCAAAAGAACCGCCTCTTGCCCTGGCCCATGCAGAGCCAAACCCAAATGCTGCTTACGTAGGAGGTGCAGGAACGGCTCCAGGCAGCGAGAATAAAGCTGGCTGGACAGGGGGCAGCCTTGACGCAGACCTCTCCCAAAATGCAGAGGCACCATCAGGGATCCGCTCTATCGAATGCCTTTTCCTGATCAAGAGAGAGAACAGCGCTCGACAGGCCAGCCCTCCGGGAATAATGGATCACATCCTGGACCAGGTGGATGTTGTCGTGGACACTCCGACCTAGGACACTGTAGGAATGATCTGGGTGGATCATGTGGTCTAGCACAGTGCCACAGCGAGTTAAAAGTATCCTGGCAAAGGTTTTGTAGCTCGTGCTGAGGAGAGAGACCAGACGCCAATACAAACAAACAGAGATCCCCCTTCTTAAGCACAGTGATGGCGGCCCTGCGCCAAGAAAGACACATTTCTCTGGTTGCGATTCATTCCTCCAGGACCCGCGCGTAGTTGCCTCTCCTCACCCTCAGCACATCCCAGAATGCCCTGAAAAACTCTGCAATCAGCCCGTCCAGCCCTGGGGACTTGCCCCAGGAATGACAGTCGAGGGCACCGGTCAGCTCCTTCACACTCAGAGGGGCATCAAGCCTCTCGGGACCCTCGGGGCTGACCTGTAGCAGGTCCTCCCACAAAACTTTGCGAGCTTCCTTGCTAGATGGATCTGGAGTGAAGAGAACCCTGTAATCGTCCATCACTTGGCCCCTGATGCCCTCTGGAGCCAAGAGGAGGGATCCATCGCCGGCTAGCAACACAAGGAGCTGCTGACGGACCCCGTGCCTTTTCACCAGCGAGTAAAAGAAGGCGAAGCCGCGGTCGAGATCCCGAAAGAACTGGACCGACAATCTCCCATTTGCACCCCGGGACCCAGTGAGATGCAAATCCCGGAGTGTCTCCTTCTTCTTTTCCCGCAGGGTCGGGTCCACATCAGGCTGACCGAGATGTGACTCCAGGTTGAGCACCTCCTTCTCCAGCTCCCTCGATTCTGTCCGTCTCTTTATCAACCCCCACATGTACTGCTGACAGAAGACACAGATGTGAGTCTTGCCCACATCCCACGGTAGCCTCAAGGAGGGGAAGCCCCCTGATTCTTTCTCCATAGTCAGTCCAGAAGTGATGAAACGAGCCCCAGAACTGCCTGTCCTCCAGCAGTTGTTAAATGGTTGTTAAAGTGCCAGTACACCAAGCTTGTCCTGATGCTGAACGGAACAAGTTCAGCCCAGAAAAGGTCGTGAACGGAAAATGGCACCTGCCGCATGGAGGCCTTCAGAACACAGGAGGCCTATGCCCTGGAAATGTAGAGGTGGTCAATTCTGGACTCTCTGACCCCAGGCCTCGCAAAGATGAAAGCAATGGAATCGGGATGGAGATTTTGCCAGACATCCACCGAGTCAAAGGTCTTAACTAAGTTCCCTAACTTCCCCACTAATGCTGAACTCTTCTGGGTACTGCCATGGTCCCACCTCTCGAGGGTACAATTGAAATCTCCCCTGAAAAAGATGACTTCACCCTCACCAATGAAGCTAAGGGTAGTAGACACTCCCTCGAAGAAGCACATCTGCTCAGGTCCCATCCAAGGCATGTATATGTTTGTGAAGTGAAGCACCATGCCTCTGAAATGAACCATGAGTTACGGGCAGGCCACCTGGCTCATGCTCCTTGACCCTCAAGATCGCTGGCTGACAAAAAGGGGCCAATAAGATAGCCACCCCGCCATAATCAGAGGCCAGATGATTCATGAAGACCCTTCCCCTTCACTCCACAAGCCACATATCTTTGTCTCCTGAGACCGTATGGGTTTCTTGCAGGATGCTCACTGCATCCTTTCATTCCCTGAGGAGCAAAAAGATATGAAATCTGCGCTGGGCCTTCCCGCTGCCGTTGACGTTGAGGCTAGCTATGGATGTCTTCATGGCTGCAGTATGTGCCACCACCACCAGTTAGGACAATGAAGACCAACTTACTGAGCAGGCGGAGGGACTCATTTCTCCCTTCCACCCTGAGGGCGCTGTAAAGGAGTCCTTTGCACCACTGCTTTGCATCCTTGTCCATTCCCAGGGCTGCCAATAGCTGCTGGGCAGACATGACCAGAAGCGGTAGAGAATTCCACCGATCCATAGCCAACTGAACTCTATCTCAGTGACCAAGCACAGCTTGCAAAAAGCCCTGGAGTTCCCCGATGGGGATGAGGGGGAC